ACCAACAAATCTAATTTTACTTTTCAATATACTTTGGGGGATTTTTATATGTTAAGTTTGTTATGCAATTTGGTGGGACTGATTTCAACTGGACTAGTGTTCTTCGACAATGGCCTTTTTCAGTCGGCTAACCGAAACCGCACCGAACCGAACCAAAAATTTCGGTTCGGTTTTTTCCTCCAAGTCGGTGCGGTTCGGTTCGGACGAATGTACATCTTCGATTTTCCATTTTTTGCGGTTCGGTGCGGTTTTGCACCGAACCGCACCGATGCTCACCCCTAATAATTGCTGCTCCCTGAGACCTTCTTTCTCCGTATACGTTTGACAGGTCAGAAGTTTCTAGCGAACAAATAGCACGGTTATCCCTCAGCCATGTTTTTTATTTCTCTCAAAATCTATATTGAGTGAACAAGTTAACAATTTACCTGATTTAGACAGGTGACTTTTAGATCAATGGATGAGATCTCCAATGTTTGCTGCTCGATAACATCACTCAACTTGTAAGAAACCGTACCAAGGTGGTCAATTGCGTTGACCAGCGCACGTACGGCATAATCCTTCATATTGTCCATGAACCTGATGCAGAAATTATAAAATCTGCATGTTAAATTTAAAATTCGAGTCACCGAATACACTTCAATTTTTTTCCCTAATTAGCACGAAGATCAAGCAAAAGAGAAATACTGTGATTTGTGAAATTTTCATTCTCGTCAGACGAAAAAACTAACAAAAGACTGAACAAACATTCTCAAAGACTAAAGTTCAAAGAATAAATTGTAGATCAAATGATTCCTTTATATTGATCAGTCAAGTTGGGCCAAAATCTCACGTTTGCTTCTGCTCATTGTTCAGATATGATTTCTCACAGTACTCTGCAGCTGAATACAGTTGAGGTATGAGGTTCTTCAATTCCTGTACAAATATAAGACCCGCCTAATTATCAGACATGATTTGTGAATTATGAATAAAGTACAAACACACAGAGCGAATGTGAATTCAAAAAACTCAAGCGATCTATGAAACTTTACGCAAAACTAACACAACTTTCAGTCCTTCTAACAACTGATCCATAACTCACAACCAACACTTGACCTCAAAACACTATACAAGCAGATTTACCTGCAGTGCCGTGACGAAGCTCTTACTTTTCTCCACCGACATCTCTTCAAACGTCGCCGTTTGCTTCCCTGTCTCCATAGAACAACAAATCTCGGTCTCGCACGCAAAAACGCACACATTCACACGGAAATTCCGATCATCAAAACACTTTATTTATCTCTATTTGAACGAGAATGGTACCTTGTGTTTCACCTAAAGCTTCGAGATGAACAAATTTATGGAGCAATTATGACGAGGAATTTCCAGTCTGGTTAGGATAGATTTGGAGTTAAGAAAAGCATATTTACAGAATAAAAAAGGGCTGTTCATGTGAAGTGTGTGTATGTGTGTGTGAAGCAACTCGAGGAATTGCAGCTGTGAGCTGTCGATGTAAATTTGGACGGTAGGTTGTGCCTAAGAAAAAAACGACGTCGTTTGGACTTCGAATATTTTTAATTTTGCTGAAAAGGAAAGGTAAAGGACCAATTGGACCGTGTTATTGAGAAGTGGCACTGAATTTTTTATATTTTTTTTGTTTACAAAGAAAGAGGCTAAAAGCCTAGAGGTTTAAAACGGGCACATCCCTTTGATAGGCGACTCCAATAAGATCATGTTGTACCAATGTCATACTCCATCCTCCATGATAGAACTGATATCCCAACGAGTCGTCCGATGCGAAGGAAGCCAGATAGTCGGCTGCAAAATTCGCTTCACGGAACACATGTTTCAGCCGTACCTCCCACGGACGACTTAATAACTCTTTATCCCCGACACCAAGCCTATGTGGATCCCTGACGCATCTTCAAGGGAGGTGACGAACGCCACGGCACTTTTATTATCGACTTCTGCTTCCACTCGTCGAAATCCCAAATCCCACGCCAGTGAGAGTCCCCTAAACAAACCCCATAAGTCCGCTGCCATTATCGAGCACACTCCAATTTTTAAAGTGAAACCCCCCAGCCACCGACCTTGATCATCGCGGGCCAGGCCGCCCGCACACCCCAAACCCGACGCCACATTAAAGGAGCCATCCGAGTTGATCTTAACCCACCTCGAAGGGGGCTTTTCCCAACAAATCCACCATGAGGTTTTCAGTAATCCCGTCCCACCAAGCTTACTGTCACTCTCAATCACCTTCGCGAGGCTGGCCACATAAGACGTTATCTCTTGTACTCCACTATTAACATCACGTTTTTTCCCCTAAAAGAGATGCTCATTCCGCCATTTCTATAATTTCCACACCACCACTCCAAAGAGACAACTGAATTAAATGAACCTATCATTGGTTTGTCTTTATTTTAGGATAGTGCTATCAACTTTTTCTATATTTCGTCTCATAAATTAATATTTATTCTCTATCGTTTCAAA